AAGTTAAAGCATGTTATTAAGGGCATTGTCCAAATGCCTCTTAAACACTGACAGGCTTGGGGCATCGACCACCTCTCTGGGAAGCCTGTCTCAGTGTTTGACCACCCTCTCGGTAAAGAAATGCTTCCTGATGTCCGCTCTAAACCTCTCCTGGCGCAGCTTTGAACCATTCCCATGCGTCCTGTTGCTGGATCCCAGGGTGAAGAGCTCAGCACCTCCCTCTCCACTTCCCCTCCCCAGGAAGCTGTAGAGAGCAGTGAGGTCGCCCCTCAGCCTCCTCTTCTCCAAACTAGACAAGCCCAAAGTCCTTGGCTGCTCCTCATAGGACGTTCCTTCCAGCCCTTTCACCAGCTTTGTTGCCCTCCTCTGGACGCATTCAAGGACCTTCATTTTGCTTGTCAAATGTTTCTTCACAAGAGCAGAGGGAGCTCACAGCAAGAACAACTTGGGTATTTTTGGCTGGAACGGATTTCTGCTCTTGATCATTACTTAACCTATGGCTACAATGACCTGAAAGAAAACTCTGAGCTTAACCCATAGTTATAGTTAGGCCTCCTTACAGTACTGTGGTGGTGATGGATATTTCGTGTCCATGTTTTATTTCTTTTTGTGTCTACACTGATGAGAGAACACTATAATTTCCAGACAATTAAGCCTTTCTATAAACCCTTCTTTCCTGAAGTATACATCCAATAATTCAACTCCAAATTCTTCTACTTGGAAGTAACTATCATTCATATTGCAAAGTCTGACTTCAGATCTTTCTCTTCAAAATTTTAAAATAGATTTGAATCAAAATCAGTAATATCTCATTACTCAAACTTTATGTACATTTTAACATATGTAAATCAGATAAGCTAAAAACCTAAGGTAAACATTTTAAAGTCACAAGAGTGTACACGTGTGTATATTTCTAAAGGTATGCAAGATGACACCGTAATGCCTGAAGATGGTTACTTTTTCACAGAATCACAGAATGATTGAGGTCCAAGGGTAACTCTGGTGGTCATCATGTCCAACTCCCCCTGCTCAAGCTGGGCCACCTAGCAGGTTGCCCAGGACCACGTCCAGATGTCTTTTGAATATCTCCAAGGATGGAGACTCTACAGCCTTCCTGGGCAACCTGTGCCAGCGCTAGGTCACCCTTACAGTAAAAAAGTTTTTCCTTATGTTCAGATGGAACCTCCAGTGTTTCTACAAAACTGTATTTTTCTAGAGAACTATACAAACATTTAAATTGAACTGTCACATGACAAACTGCTGGTTATCAGCTGCCAGCTGCAAATTCCATAATTTTATATATCCACATACCTCTTCAAGCTCTCCTGAAGAAACAGGATTATCCTCGTACGTGGGGAAATGGCACCCTGCTTTACAACTGCAAAACCTGCTAGTCTCCTCACGTGGCTCCACTATTCTGCAGTTTACTTTAGAGCTCTCCATCGCCCTCCCATCTAGAGATTCTTTCATACTGCATTCTAAACAGGGATCTTGGTTTCCTACTGGCAACATCCCAGCCGACTCTTCTTGGGAATCCAATGATGTTTGTGCACTCTTCTCCATTCCAGACTTTTTTAATCTGGGAAGGAATTTTCCAGATTCAAGCTCTGATTTTCCATAATAATGCCCTTCTTTTTCTGCATCTTCTTCCAGAGGTTTGAGATCTGCTTGTGGATCCTCAAATACATCTACTTGAGAAGGGACAGCAATACCTCCCTCATCTTTTTCTGACTCAAATTCTGACTCACTTCCACCACCTGGAGAAAGTTCAGATGCAGAAATTGGGCGAAAGTGAGTCCTTGGAGAAATCCGTATAGCCCTGTACTGCGTTCGATCAACACCACATATCCTGGGGTGTAAAACCTCACTGTCTGAATCAGAGCACAGAATTGACTTAGGTTTAAAACTAGGGCTGAAAGATGCAATTCCTTCTGGCTCAAACGAACACTCTACATGAAGAACTTGTGAAAATGGATTGTTCAGGTCAAAGGAAGAGAATGAGTATTCAAGCCCTGGTTCTTCAACTTGAAAGTTACCACAAGCTCCCAGTAAGTCTTCATGGAAGATAAAAGAAAAACCCTTATTTAATCCATTATCTCCATTCTTTGATTGCTCATTCTGTTCAAATGATACAAATGGCCTCCATAATTGCCTATGACCAGGGGCAAAGCTATTACCTGGAGTCATAAAAACATCTGTACCAGCTATTGTCACTACATCAGAAGCTGCACATTGTAATAAGCTCCCTTTTGAGTGACTAGGTGGCACCACTGCCCATTCTCCATCACTGTTAAATGTTTTGAGCTCCCCATACACACCACCAAGTATAAATGAGTTTTCTTTATCCTGGTTAACATCCCAAGGTTTTGATGGTGTAGTATAGTCACCACCATCTACTTTTGATAAATCATTTGAGACAAAGGCTCTCTTCTCTAAATTCTCCTTTTGACCTTCCCAAAGATGATATTCTGATCTCTGCACTGCTTTATTGGGCTCCTGGAGGGTTTCAACTTTTGCTTCTGTATCCAAACAGCAGCAATAGTTATTTACATCAGTTGAAAACAATTCATCTTCTATTCCTTCTATTTCTACCATTGCTGCAGAATTTCTGTCTGTCATATTTGTCCAAATATCTTTAATAACCCCTGAGCTGTAGCCATCTCCATGTGGACTGCTTTCACTACACCCTTGTGTAGTTTCATAGTCTTTACTTTCTGCTTTTTGTTCTAGCTGAATACCACAGACAGATTCTAGCTTAGATTTTTTTTTGAAAATCAAAGTGGGCATTTCTCCTAAAGTTCTAGCTTGTTGCTGGCAGGTTTCTTCTGGCAAAAAATCTAGAATTTCTTCATCTACATAACTCGAAGACACTCTAGGAACTACATAATTAATATCTTCTGCATTAAATTGCGTGGATTCTTCATATGGAATATTTAAAGTCTCATTGTCTGAACGTGTTTCTTCTGAGTGTGACCATGGACTACAGGTTCTTGTTGAAAGATTGGAACAGTGTTCATTTTCATCAAAGGCACTATTTTTGGTCCATATTAGCAATCTAGACTGTGTTTTCCCAAGAATATTAGCAGTGCTACTAGAATCTGCATTTTCATTTCCCAAGTTGAGTGTTTCAAAAGAAAATGGTAAAACAGAGTTACTGCATTGCACTTCAAACACTGAAAAACAAGAGTTTATACCAGACCCTTCATTAATATCTGAAAAGAGCTCTTGATTGCCAGCAAGCATGTGTGAATTAAGCATTGTGCTGTCTAAGATGGGAGAGAATCTGATCGGAGAATCTCCTCCAAAACTTTCCCCATCTGCATCACCAGAACTAGAAGATGAACAGCACTCCCAAAATTGAGCTAAATTACTAAGGTCTTGCAAGAACCACCCTTCAGCACCAACAGAGCTGGTCGAATCTGTCCATATTGCACTTTCCCCTTGCAACTCCATTCCATCTAACACTATGCAACATTCTGCCTCAAAATCAGTTTTTTCTTTACTCTTTTGTCGAATCATATTTAAAATCCGACTCTCCCCTTGCATCGTATCTGAGGCACCAGGATCCAACATGGATTGATCAATATCCACTTCATAGAAGTGTGTTAGTTCTGACAGATGAACATCATCTAAATATTTGTCGTCCTCTGGTTGAGAACATATTGAGGTCCCAGCGAGGTCAATATCCTCATTTAGAACTGCAGGCATTTCTACAAAGTGACCATCGATGAAAGTACCTGCTGCGAGGTATGTTTTATGAATATTATTGTTGCTAATACAAAGACCGTGCACTGATTCAGACAACTCTTCTACAGCCTCTGATGTTACGCCACATACATCTTCTCTGTTGCGGTATGTAGTCTCCAGCTTGCTTTTTCTGCTAAGAGGAACAAAGTACTCTGTAATCGGCTCAGTATACCACAAGGGTTCTTCTTTATATTCCTTTTCATTTCTGCTGTCTAAATACAAATCTTTTCCATCGCTACCGCCAGCTTCTTTTCTTCCAATTTCTTTTAATGGCCTTTTACCTCTTTTGCACAGCTGTTTGATGGACCCGCTGCTACTGCTGCTACTGCTTCCGCTGTGGACTTTTCTATCAGCCTTTTCACCAGATTTCACTGAAAGCCTGCTTTGCCCATTACGCCCTTTTTTATTTCGAACCTCTCTTGTTTTGTGTCTTACTTTAATACATTTCATTGATGCCTTGTATTCACCTTGATTACCACTAGAACTTGAGCCAGCCTCACTGGATCCAGATGACCAGGAGCGAGGACGCATCTTTCCCTCAGACTTATGTCGGACTTGCTTTTTGTACAAAACAGGCTTCTCTTCAACAGTGTTGTTACTAAACTTGTTTTCTTTCTCATTTTTACTTTTCTTCTGCTGGGTTCTTTCCTGTACAGTGGCAGATACTTTATTACTTCTGTCTTTAGTTACTTCACTTTCACTATTGCAGTCCTTTGGAGAAGATGTATCCGTGCTAGTTGGTGGAGCAGTGGATGAAGATGAGGAGCTAGAGTAAGAGCATACTTTGGATTTATTCCATACAGTCATAATTTCCTGCAGGCAAACTGGCTTTTCAGAAAGAGGAGGAAATGCTTCATAGTACCTGAAAACAAAACAAAAAGGTGGCATTCAGATCATAGAACTTCAGACAGGCATTAAGATTAGAAAGTATTACTAAAACCACATCAAAACACTACCAATCTAATTGGAAAAAAATCTAGTTGTTCTACATATGCACATGCCACTCATTGCACTGTTTATCTGAATGATAACAAAGGGGCGATTAAGATAAGCTTTAAAAGTGCTTGTATTAATGTATGTTTAAAAATATACTGCCAAGTAAAACAATCCCATTTTTAGGGAGTACTAAACTTCACTGTAGACAGAAATTGTGGATGCTTAAAACAGTGAAGGCCTGACTCCAGATTTATTAGATAATGTAGCAATTTACTACAGTTGTCTTAAACATGTTTGATTTAGAGTATAAATGCGGAAGTCCTGAATTTCAGTCAGTTCAGTCCTGAATTTCAGTTTTTTAAATTCTCCTTTCTGAAACGAGACACTATCTGTTAAGTTCTACATAGTTTGACCATCCAGTTATTAAGAAAAAGGTATTGCAAAAAAAGATTAGTTCTTGAGTAGTTTAAGATGCTTAACAGCTTTGTGCAACAGGGACAAAACTAAAATACGTTTTTCTGCAATGTTTAAAGTAGTATGTGTTTGACAGTAAAGAGGTTTATACCAAATCGCATGTATTTCAATGAAAAACTATTAGAAAACATTCAGAAGTCAGTTAAGTTAAATGTACATTAGCACAATCAGTTCCCTGAAGAAGTAGCATCCATTTAGCAACACCTCTACTAGACTGTTGCTACCAATGGTTATTATTAAGAGATACAGAATCAGTCGTATCTCCAAGAGAAGTCAATGATAAAACTCCTGGGTACTTCAGTAACACTGGACTCAGGTACTTGGTAACTAGCAGACCACTTTGGTTATAAAGACTTTAAAGGTTATAAAAGAGTTTCAGTTTACCATTTCTGCAACAGAAGACAGAGTTCTGGACAAGACAGGACAAGGGGTAACGGTTTTAAACTAAAAGAGGGTGTATTTACACTAGATATAAGGAAGAAATTTTTTACGCTGAGGGTGGTGAAACACTGGCACAGGTTGCCCAGAGAGGTGGTGGATGCCCCATCCCTGGAAACATTCCAGGTCAGGTTGGACGGGGCTCTGAGCAACCTGATCTAGTGGAAGATGTCCCTGCCCACGGCAGGGGGGTTGGACTAGATGACCTTTAGAGGTCCCTTCCAACCCAAACTATTCTATGATTGTATGAACCCAGGAAGCTGATTCTCTCCCTGCAAGTCTAACGTGTCAATTAATACTGTTTTAAAGGCTTTTAATTTGTCTAGTTGACTTGGTCTTAAGGAAACTAAAATACAGTATGGTTTGAGTTCTGCATTTAGTCAAAAGAAAGCAGCCAGGACTTTGCCAGAAATTAAACTAGCCCATGGTACACCAAATGCTCGTATTTAAATACATAAGATTAACAAAAGAAGATGGCAGGAAAAAAATTTATTTCTTAATATCCACAAAACTTCAGATTCCCCACTAAGTTAACTTCACGGTGTTAAAATATGGGAGTAAAAGGAGAAAAGAGAAAAGCATCTCAGATAATAATAATAAAAAATGCATACATTTCTACTTGATCCTTTGCAGTGGGAGATAAATCAGTCTCAGGAGACAAAGAGCCTTCTAACTTTTTGTGAATCTTCTCCTCTGTTTTGGAAGAAAATTCCAAATGCTTAATAGAAAAATTAAAAATGCCAGTGTATTTTATAACAGTATTTAACAAAAAGCATCAGGACGTATACCTGTAATAGTAGTAAATTTCCATAAAACACTGTAAATAACAGAACAATTTATAGACTGGTTATTATACATAAAGAAATTACAAGTTACCACCCAAGATTCAAGTTTTCCACAGTTGTCTTGTTAAGCCCTGCAATTTTCACCAAACATGACTGGCTAGCAGCTGCATGCAACTTCATGGTTAGCAATGCCCCCACTAGGAGACTTCCTATTGGATTTTTAGTTATTTCATATCCAAATCCTTATCTCCTTGCATTGCTACATATAAAAAAAGATTTTTTAAAAAAAATCAACTATTTAACTGAATATTTTTATGAATGGTTGCATCTAACTTCTCATGTATTTCACTAAAACAAAGTACCCCTGCAGTAGTTGCTGTGCTTTGGGTGGATGTAAAGGCAAATTTCCTGTGTGAGAGGTGACTCTAAAGATTTCTGATTCTTTATATTAAAATCTGTAAAATACCAAAAAAATGCTGTGAGATACACTGATTTTACTTTTTTTCCAAAATAAGTGGTCAACATCATCTTGGCTCAGTAAGAAAGCGTCACAGCATAGCACTATGAAATACTAAGAGCTGACTAGTAATCACTGTTTAAAAACAGAAAAGGGGAATGGAAACGGCTAAAATCATGCTTTAAACAGGTAAATATTTATCCCTTATCTATTGCTATTTATACTACATGATAAGCATATTAATTTTACTCTAAGTGTCAAAGGCTGCTGCTATGTGCCTGAAGAAACATTTATGTGCCATGAACTTTCATTGGAGACACCACAATTTTATATTATGCTCCCTGCCCTAAGCCTGACAACATAAAGTCCCCATTATCATTTCCCTAAAGCCCGGAAATTTTAAGCACACCTCTCTGTGATGGCTACTTGGATGCTTTTCAGAGGAATAGCTAGTATATAACAATTTTGAGGCCAATCTACTCTTTGCAAGTATCAGTACATAAAACGAACAGAATCAAGCCTACTTTATTTTGATTTATTTTGGTGGGGAGGGGGGATGCCGAATATGGAATATTTACTAAAAAAGCAGGCATAGCTGGATTTGAACAGTTACAGCTTTTCATGAATTTGTGAATGGCTATTTCCTAGGTAAACAAAGCATACTAGTACAGAATTGCTTAAACTATTTGAATGAAATTATTCAAATGTATTTTAAAATTGCATGGCCTGTATTAAAAGCTACTGAATTAACAGCCTGCTCCCCCCTCCCACGTCTCAGAATGTTACAAAGTTGATAAATACAATATATGGCCTCAGAAGTTTAAAGATTTATTCCTCACCTTGCTTACTCTGAAGGTCTTTCAGTCTGGAGCAAAGCTCCTCCACTAACGTTTCAATCCCAGAGCTCTGCACAACAACAAAACCACAGGAGGAAAAAAAGAAAGAAAGAAAGAAAAAAAAAGAAAAAAGAAAACATAACTTACTAAAAAGAATATTCATTGTATAGGAAGACATCAATACAGTAAACATATCTTAGCAGACATATTTTTCTTTTTGCATGGTAACTACGCATTAAAAAGCAACAAAAATTACTACTAGGTATAAATCCATTATAAATACATTAATTAGAGGTCAAAATGATTCCAGGAAACACATAGATACATTCACACAACAGTTAAACATAACTTACTAAAAAGAATATTCATTGTATAGGAAGACATCAATACAGTAAACATATCTTAGCAGACATATTTTTCTTTTTGCATGGTAACTACGCATTAAAAAGCAACAAAAATTACTACTAGGTATAAATCCATTCCTATAAATACATTAATTAGAGGTCAAAATGATTCCAGGAAACACATAGATACATTCACACAGAGGTTTCAAACTACAAGTCACGCTGTTGCATTACTGTATATCCAAGGTTTTGCAAACTCTGCACTGTCACATTTATGGCACTATATCACTTAGGATTTAGCTGAGAGTCTCAGGATAAAAGTTCAAGAATCAACTGATCACTAAGATGCGTTTTAAAAAGCTATGCCTGACACTTTTGGTTGCACAATTTATACCTGTGAGAAAGGGACTGTTAAAAGGATACAGAAAATCAGGAGTGAAGGTGAAAAGGAGAACAGTATGAAGACATATACGTATAGATGGCAGTGAGGGAGAAGAAATGCTTCCACAGTATCTTCATGCAAAACTTAACCCACAGTTTTGCCAGTTTACAATGCCTAGGTTTTTTTCTTTGTAAACATTGTGTTGTTTCCTCAGGAGAGCAGAGGGAAAAATAAACATCTTATTCATCTTCCCTGTAAGCCTCTATTTTCCTCCTTTATTCCTCCACGTAAACCTTCCATACACTCAAGCTCCCTTTTAAATCCCATCTCAGTGTTATTCTCACATGCTTCTGCTTTTACTATCTGCCTAGACTTGCAAGCAGTTCTAGATAAAGCAACAGCACCGGAACAGCAAAATACTGAAAAATAAACACACACACACACAAAACAGTACAATATACTACCAACTGGCCCACAGGAGAAAACCCTGTGCTATTCTAATGGAATAACAGTTGAATTCCAGTCAGCGAAATACTAAATACCAAACTACAGACTGAAATGACCATTCCTGTTGGAAGGAAAACTAGGTGAGGTGGGTACCATGTAGATATTCGTGTTCTTTGTATTTCGATGCTCAGGGATCATGCTTGGAGATTACACTTTGCACTTTCCATAACTGCAAACAGAAGGCTGGAATCCCAGCTAAAGGCAGCAATCCCAAACAAGTGAGGAGGATGCAAGAATTCCCCTGCACATTACCATGCAGCTGGGAAGGGTAACGAGGCAGAACTGTGCAGCTTCTTGTATCCTATGCACAGTTTCCTCAATAACAACTCCAGCGTCTTGTCCCCATCATACTTGGAGATTCTGAGACGTATACAAACCTCCTCCAAAATTATCTCATCTTCTGAATTTGACATGATCTTGTGTGCATACAGTCATGGAATATGCATTCTCTCCAAAGGTAACGCAGATCAAATATCAAGTTACAGAAAAGCAGAAAGAAGAGTTTGATTTGCTGTGTCACCATGGTGCTATAAAGATTTCATTTTTCCAAAATCTAAGAGTTTCTCCTCTCTCCTGATTACAGACTAGAAATGGCTGAGAAATGTGAATATATGTTGCTAAATCACAAGAAAATATTACACAACAGGGAATACTAATTTATACAGTGAAACTAGCTTGTTTATTTCTGTCAGAAACACACACTTGAAAAATCATATACTGAAGCAATGACTTTTATGCTAACTTCTAAATTTTAATTATTTGCAGTCAAGTGAGAAAGCAATTTTCTATTCCTAACTGCATTGCTGCACTGAAGTGCTAAATATAAACCTTTATGCCACATACTTAACTGAGGATGACTTAGCAATATTAAACTTTAGAAGGCATTTCCTATAGCAGTATATTTACCAACATAAATTAAATTGTTTAGAAAGAACCAAGCAGCACAGTATTATGGACAAACCTATGTAGTTGTTATAATCGTCACTTTATGCCTATACGATTCCTGACTCCCCCTCCTCCCCCCAAAAGGGCAACAGAGGAGGAGCTGGCCTTGTTTTTGCTTAGCTCTCCGAACTGTCTGATCAAACGGACACCTGTAGCAAATACTCAAAATTTAAGGAATATAGATTCACTTCCTTAATTATAACATCATGTCCAAAGAAATCCCCCAAACCGGCAACAATATGCTCACCATTACACCGAAGAAGTGAAAACTTTTGGAATCAAACGCTTCATTTCCTCCTGTACCATGAAACTAATACTTGAGTCAGCTGACACGCTGCATGCTGTCCTGCATAGCACGCTGATGCAGCTAGCGCTAGCTTTAAGAAAAAAAAAAAAAAGGGGGGGGGGGGCACTGTGCAGGATGCCAAGTCTCTAGAGACCACTTGCTCAACCTCTTACTGCAGTATATAAAAACAAGCTGCAGACTTAATGTAATGAATGCCTCAGCAATTATTTCGTATATGACAGTGTTGTTCTCTGAATACACGATTTAGTTACTGTATTTTTTCATTGTTTAAGTTAATGCATTGTAGTTGCAGCAACCCCACTGCCAGACAGTAAGATATTCCAGGCACTGGCTTGGTTCAATAGGACACATCAGTTAACGAAATTAGGTGATCTGCCTGAACTGCTTTGCTTATGTTCAAATTTAAAGACAGTCCCCAAATAGTACAAATACTGGAGCACCTTAAAAACATTTTTCAACATGGAAGTGCCTAATTATGATTGCTTTTGTGATTCCAACACAAAAGGCTTAAATCTCATTGTTATCTGTAAGATTATTTAAACTACTGACCCAGATTTCTACTAACCCTTTCTCTCATTCAAACTACAAAGGGCAGCACATCATTTTTTTAATTCATATTTTTCATTTTACATAACAAAACTTCTTCCACAACAAAACCACATTTTATTCTGTTCTACTGTTTCCAACACATTTCTATTTTCTTCCCCTGCCTTAACTTAAATCCAGTTCCATCAAAAGTCATTCTTTTTGGCTTTTCATCAGCTGGCTGAAGCAAGGGAAGGATTACATAAAGGATAGGTGTTATGTTACTGGCATAGAAGTGACCGTGCTAACAGATAAATTAAGCTTCTGAACTCAGCCAGCATGAACAAGAACAGTCAATCTGACTGCTGGAGTTACAGGACTCTAATAGCCAGTGTCTTGCTTACTGACCAACATGACTCTCTTCAGAGCCAAATTAATGTAGTTCTGCATAATGTGGAATGAGAGCAATTAAAAATGAAACAGCAAAGCTCACACACATTTTTATATATATAAAAAATGTTGGGGGGGGTTCATATGTGTATATATATGCGCGTGTGTGTAGTGTCAAATCTTGAATCAAAGATCTTTTTAACATGCTCTACTTTGGAAGTAGAGCAGTCAGAAATGACAAGTAGTAACTCATTAGCTTAAAGCAACCCAATTGCTTTTGTACATACATTCACACCTCTGCATAGCTAGAGAAAATGTTCCCGGAAGATATCAAATCTATACATTTAGTTACTTCTGAAATATTTTTATAAATTTAAAATAATCAGTTTAGTTAATTGTGAACCATGTACAATACTAGGTACACTAAATTCAGATCTACTAAAAACTGTTGCCTATGTTAACAGTGGGCACTGGCTTCTATGTTCTGAGAGTTTTTAGTAAGAAGCTGTGAAACATTAGCTCCTCTCAAACACTTGACCAATCACTTTAATTCTTGTTGACATCCATCTCTGCTAGCAGGTTACTTCTGAATGTTGCAAACAAGCACTGCGCAGTCACCACCCAGGAGATTTAAGTTTTTCCTGAATTGGATCACAAATGTTCATGCACCACTACTATTTCACATAGTTATTCTAGGGAACTGAGGATAGCATTGGTCAGCAAAATTTTTTGTTTTCACTGACCTTTCACCCCTTCCTGTCACCCAGTAATGATGTCTAGTTATGGCTCTCGTACTTCCATCCAAAAAAATGCCATGCAAATGTATACTTTGTTCTACAGATCTGCACATATGCAATAGCCAAAAATTCTGGACAAAAAAGGAGAACAAAGTTGTGATAGCCAGTATTTAGAATGAGCTTTCCACATCTGACATACCATAAATATATACACAGAAACTAAAAAATTCCATCAGATTATACAACTCAAAGGGAAGGGTTGGTTTTTGGGGGTTTTGTTTTGTGAGTGTTTCTTTTTTTTGCTTCTAGCCTAAGGTAAGTTAATAGCTTTCCTCCAGGAGGTTTGAACTGTGTACTGTGAATATTTCCTAAACATGGCTTGTTACTTCAGGCCTGTAAGGTCACGAGGAAAGTTCCTTGTTCCTCTTAGAGCTTTTTGAAAAGACAAAAGCATTACACTTCATTTTACTTTAACAACTAAAATATTCACTCATTTGCTTTTAGGTTTTTGAGAGCTTTCTAGCTTATACTTTTAAAACAAATCCTCATTTCACTTTCCCAGATGCACAGAATTGTTTAGGTTGGAAAGAACCTCTGGAGATCATCTAGTCCAAACCCCTGCCGAAGCAGGATCAGCTAGAGCAGAATACAGATGCTCCTTTCACAGATACAAGTTCAAACAATCAAGAAATTAAAGAAAATCAATATATTCATAGTTTCAAATCATTCTTTTAACAGGTCATAGGACTCCCCAGTCAGAGATGAAACTCTGACTGATTTCTTGGCATGTAGCCTGTCACCAAGAGCAGGATTAGGAAGCTGTTCTATATGAATCAGCTGTTAAGCCACGTGAACTGAATAAGGCACAAAATATGATTCACTGCAACCACACATCTATTTCTATATTTTGTAGGATGATGAGAGCTAGATAAA